AAATCACAGGTAAACTGAGAAAAATCTACGAGGTGTTTTTGTTTTGTTTTGTTCTTGAAAACTGATAGTTCCTATTCATCACAACAGTTTCTTTCCTATGTAAAGGACAGCTTTTTGCCTTTGATGGTTCATGCAACTAGTGTCTTACCTCGCTTTTTTCTGTGAAGCACAAGAAGTATCTGTACTCTTGATCAATACACCTTACAAAAACATTTTAAAGTTGTATTAATTCCAGTAAGTTTATTTGAAGCAGCATGACATGGATTTCTATAGCTGTGCTGAAATGACTAAATTTTTGGCTTTCAAGGCTTCCTAAGGTGCACTTAGTGACCTGCTCAGGCTGATTAAAAATAGGTTTTGATGTTCCATCTCATTAAAATGGACGGGAGCGATGATCTTATGCAGGGAGACAGCTGGGTTCAGGGTATGTTTCTGTGAATGAGGTTTGCTGTCTCTGGAGTTAATTTAGCCTTTTTAAACTTGGAAACTATTGGACTATGGTGTGTCACTTTTCAGCTGCGTCTCTGTCTCTGCACCTGCAAAATGGGGACCAGATCTTTAAAATAAGACTCGGAATCACTGGAGAAGGACAAGGCCTGAGGCCTCCAGTACAACTGGAAGCTGCTTGAAGGGCATGTTGGACACCATTAACTGTGAGGCTTCCTGAACACTACTTGTAATGTAAGGCATGTCTGGCAGACATAAAAGAAGAAACATTAGTTTAGCAAATTTTAATAAGATCCCTTTAAAAACAAAGATTTTATACATGTGTTCCCTCCCTTAATATAGGTCCAAAATACACAGGCAGTCTTGCAGGAATCCTGCGTAGTATGAGTTGTATCTAATTATTTTTTAGGAAAGTGTTCTTGGAAAAACTAAAAGCAGACTATAAGGTTAGTTTCTCAAATAACTCCAATTTCTGCCTCAAAAACCTTTGAGGTTAAGCTGCTCCTCTGTTTGACCTCTGACAAACAAGAGTTCTGGCACTGTGATGAAACATCCAGTCACACAGTGTGTTTGCTGAGCTGCTGAGGTTCATGCAACATGCTGAGGTTCATGCAACAAATGTCAACGTTTAAGCAGTGGCTGGTTAAAGATTCCACAGCTGCTTTTGCTCTTTAAGCCAAAATACTATGAAATGTGGTTGACTTTTTTTTTTTTTTGTCTGCCTTCCATTAAAACTATGGGAGTATTTTTTTTTTTTTCTGCAACTGATTGATTTTCAGAGGTTTTTACTAAGTTACTTATATTTAACTTTTATACTTCAGTTAAAAAAAAAAATCAATGATTTACTACTTCTGCAAGGAACTGGGATTCTGTACTGGAACTTCGGGGGGTTAGAGAGGAATATTTTACTCCTGGCCTCTCTGGCATCCTGCTGTACAGACTCTGTTCCGAGGCTTTGGCAAAGTGGAAAAACTCTCAGGTGGCAAATATTTGACAATCGTTGTAGAGAAACGGCCAAAAGCCAGAATATTGGTTTAGAAATAACACAAAAAAACAGTGCTGCGTTCTCTTGAACTCTTCTAATCGAGCTGATGCTAAGTACCTTCCCAAATTGTATGATGTTACATAATCCCACTTGCCACCAAAATGCAGTTTCCTCTTGTAGGAGGTGCTACCACCTTGAATGATTTTGTTTGTCATGCTGAATTCTCTCTGACCGGTCATAACCATAAATCCCATGTATTGCTAGGATGTTGTGTAGCTTAATAAACACTTGCAAAATACTTCAATACTTAAATACTTCTGATTCAGCATATCAGAACTGATACATTATTTGCTGTGAAAACTCCTATACTGTTTAGGGAATGTACGTGTGTCTGTTCATTCTGGATATTCTTCTGTTACCTGCATTTTTGGAAGTGAAAAGTAATTGTGTTTGAGGTAATCTGGAAGCTTGATTTTGGCAGCTATATTGCTGTTTAAGGATGAAGGTGAGAAATGGATAGACCCAAGTCCAAATTACCAGTAAAATCTGTAAGGCCTGCTGTGTTATGAAACAATTGTTGGTATATTTACAGCCTAGATTTTTCCTGTGGTTTTGCTTGTATTTGATTAAATAAATATAATCGTAATAGCAATTTAGCAGTGACTTGGTTCAGTGTTGTATTTGACATAGATGAAAATGATTCTTATGAGTCTGCTGTTATTTATAAAGGGCAATTTTGCTTTCAGTTTACCTTTTTTAGACCTAACTATTCATACCTGCCCTCTCTGCTTGCGTTACCTGAACTTTTAGGCTGCTAAATACAAAGCCAAGACTTGCATGGTCTATAAACTAAGGCAGCTCTGCCATTTCTCTCTGATTTTTATTCGGAGGCTGTTCCAGAATTGCATTCCCTGGTGGAAAAAATGTCACCTTCTAGTTTCCAGTTTTAGTTCTTCAATAGCCTGCACCGATTTTTGCCCTTGTGTAAAAGTTTATCCTTCAAGCTGCTTTTCTCCTTGCCCAACATATAGTTGAAATTCATAGTGGAGTGATTTTGTGAATACTCATGTGCTGGCAATTAAGGTGAGCCTTGATATGGCTTTATAAAGGCAGTACTTTATTATTTTTTTCCCCTCTGCTTTTACAAGAAAGAAATCTCTAACAAAACATTTGGTTATCCCTTTGGCAGGAAAATACAGACTCGCTTTTTAAGGTCCAAGTGTCTTGTCTGGAGAGCAAGCAGCTAGATCTAGTCTTCTGCCTGGAGGGTGCTCTGTCACTTCTCTTAGATGCAGTATTTCAACTCTTACATCCTCTTACAAAGCTAAAAATGGGGAAGGATGGGATTAAGAGGTAACAGCTCTGCTCTAGCAAAGAGTGTGTGGAAATAATATCATGTTTCCATTTGTTGGTTTTGTTATAGTAACCTGGTAGGTCTCCAAGTCCATGACTTCACCCTGAGTGGAACCTCTTCTGAGACGGAAGGGCTGCACGACAGTTTTCTCCCTGTGATGGTTACTAATTTATCCCTTTCTTTCTAATCCAACTATGTCTGTATCTCAGTCACAACAACCTCCAGCTTCTGTGTGGCTGACAGTGCCACAGCAGCAACGTGGAGCTCTTCCATGATCTGGTAGCCATGCAAAAAAAATAGTGGTAGTTACCCAGATTTGGTTTTACGGATAAATATTCATTGCGTGCAGGCAGTCTGGCAAGAAGAGTTATTGTAATGAGAAGATAAAGCTGTTTAATGTAGCTCATTTGCAGCCTTCCTCACTTTATATGTACATTCCTGTCAATGCAGTCACCAACCACTGTTAGTACAGGAAAAAAGGGACCAGGGATTTTTGGTGTTCCGCATTTCTCGAACTGGTGTGCCCTTCTGCCAGCTAAAAGGGGGTTTTGAATCAAAGTGTTTGTTGCCTGACTGATCTCATGGCCCTAAAATTGTATTTAAGCAGCAACATTTCTGTGCTAGAAGAGAAAGAGCCTATTTCACAGAGCAGGCAATTCATCTGTGTGCACAGGGTCAGCATGAGGGCTAAACCCTGTTTAAAACCTATTTAAGCTGCTTGAGCTTAACTGCTGCGTAGTTCGCTGCTTTGCAGAAGCGAGGGAGCTTGGCATGGTGAGAAGAGCAGGTAACTCTTGTTTTGTTTTACTGTGGGAATTTCCTTTCTTGAAGGGAGGTAATGGCCCGATGCAATGTGGAAAACGTGAGTTGGATTTTGACAGTTACTCTTCTTGGGCATAAATTGCTTAGGACTCAGAATTACACTGCCAAAATAAATGACTTTTTTATAGACCTCGTGGGATCGTGAACATCATCTACCTCTCTTCAGCAGCCTTCTATACTGGGAAGGGAATAATCTGTGTTTGCAAGTGTTTCTTCCTTGCAGAGCTGACCTGAAGGTTTCTGGTAGATTCTGACATTGCAAGAAATCCGAGAAGCAGAATAATGTAAAACTTTGGCACTCACTGCTAACATTTTCTAATTCCTTAGCAAAAATTTGTTGATAATTAAGAGGTATTTAAATGGTTTCCTGGCTTGCTTTTGGTACAGGAAAGAATACTTAGTGTTCAGATAGTGGTTAGAGAGATCTGATTCTTGAGCTGTTTCTCAGGTTTGGCAGCTAAACAGTATGGGGATTTTTGATGCTCGTGTTTTGGTTTTGTTTGTTTTGTATTTATGGCTTTTTTTGCCTAGTTTAAACATGAGTAATTCAAAGTTTACTTTGTTCTCCTAGTCTGTAAATAAAACATTATCACTGGTACCATATGCTTCGTTCCAGGATTTGCTTACTGCAGTAATTTTCAGGATGCCCTAGGGAATTGTGTTAGTGGATGGGTGCATATAATAAAACTGGGCTGGTTTGCTCCCTTCCAGCTTGGGGGTAGATCTGCTCCATGGCGAGGATGGAAGCTCCTTGGAATCTGCAGAGATCTGCAGGAAATCAGCTAATTACCTCGGTGCTTCTTGCCCTTCGCCATCCTGTATCTGTTCCCTTTCGTTCTGGTGAGGGGATATGTGTAAATGTCACCATCTTCATTCTGTGTTGGTTCATTTGTACCCTGTGCTGGATTTTGGGGACCCTCGTGATGGCTGTTCTTAAATGTGGGGCATGGAGGCTTGAACTGCTGAGCTTTGAGTCTGTTGTCATCCCTTTCATGCTCCAGGGTGGGAGCAGCACTTACAAGAATCAGCTCCCTGCTTGGAAATATACTTAGTTAAAACAGTGGTAGTTTAAAAAGAATATAGGCATATGAGGAATGCACTGTGGAGAAAGACATGATAATTAATTCTTCCTCAGAGCAGTTATAATTATCTTTATTTTTCGGTTGTGAAAAGGGTGACACTGATTTTCATTGCTCTTTGATTTATCTTTTAAAGTACCTAAACAGGCTGGGCAGAATGTGGTCGTATATTTGGAGTGAGAGACCAGAATGATTTCATTCTTGAGGTCTGTGTTTAAAACTTGTTATGGAAATAATTTAATGGCAAAGCGGATGTATTTTCTAATGCACAGAGTTGATGAGGCCCCACTCAGATGTGTGTTTTTCCCTTGCAGGTAATTGAGAATGGGCCCTCAACGATGCTAAGTCTACAATGGGAAGTGTCACACTCCGCTATTTCTGCTATGGGTGCCTCTTCACGTCCGTGACCTGGACACTTCTGCTCTTTGCTTACTTCAACTTCAGTGAAGAGACCCAGTCTTTCAAGAATGTGCCCATCAAGGGGCTGGAACCGCAGAGGCCGTTTCCAAAAAAATTCTTCCCCCGCTTTACCCGGGGGCCGGTTCATAAACCTGCTTTGCAACAGAAAGAGAACAGGATTGGAAATCCTTTTGCAAAACATGTCCAGGACCCAGTGAAGAGGGAGGTAGATTTTTCTCCTGAAATGGGTAAGTGATTTTCATCATTGATTTTCATCACTTAATTTCTTCTTCTGATTTTTTTCTAAGAATACTTAGAAAAAATGTATAATGATATTATTTTGTTTATTGAAATGTAGGTAGTACTAGTAGTTCTTTTCATTATGAATTATTTGAAATTTATTTTGACATATTTGAATTTTATTATTTCTACATATGAGGGTTAGCTGTGTAAGTGCTAAACAGGAAGGTCAAATTACAGCAAAACTTTTATTTCAATTTTTTCTTTTTGGGATATTCAGTATATTCTTGTGACAGATCTTACTCTTAGACTGGGCTCATACATAAGCTTTCACTAGTAATAAAGCAACTTTGCTCATATGCAGTATTTAAATACCTGTAAAACACTGTGTAACAATACATAGTGAAGGAGGCTCATGGATGTGGAGAGCATCCTTGGAGCATGGAACCATTTGCCAAAAAAAAAAATTACAATGAACAATTTATTGAGATGACCGTGATACTGGGCAAAGCCTGCTTGCTTTGCGCCAGCAAGTGGATCTATGGGTGGTATTTTTTTAAACATATTTCATAAATACGATCACTCGGGTTTGTTCTCAGCTGCTAATTAAAATTCTTAATACATTTCACTGCTTATAGCTTAGTTCTCTGCTGTGTTGGAATATCCAAAGGGATACATCTAAAATATTGACCTACTGGAAGATTGAGGGTAGAAATTGTGTGATCTGAGCATTGAGTATCACTGTCTGCAGCTTCTTTGGGAATTATGGCACGGTACCTTTGGAGCCAGGAGCTTAATACTCACGTAGCTGACTGAATTCCTCCTGCTTTGGAGGGATGCTGAATCCCAGCTTCAAGGGTTTATAGAACTTTACCTCACTTCATTCTCCAAGTTGTTCATTAGACCTATGTGACTGGAATCTGTGGAAAAACATTCCCCAAATGTGGGATTACAAGTGTTTACCACCTCTCTGCAAAACCTCCATGAGCCAAGTGAGGTGAAAGTCGATGCAGAAGTGACCACTTCTGTCCACCTATTCAGCACTGGCCAGGAAAGAGATCGGTGCTTTTAGCTGAGAAGTCCCTTGATCTTCAAGCAGGGTGACTTGTTTGGTTCCTGAGAGCCAAGGGAAATTCCAGTGCCAGAATAAATTCTGGATGAGTCACCAGGAGGCAGCTCGGTCTGTTTGGAGTAGATTTGGTGCTGCAAGGAAGAGACTCATGGCTGGCTGTAGCAGGACAGTGATAAACACACAAAGGTAAAAAAAAATAAGGGGGAAAATAAAAGGCTGGCCTATGATAGCCAAAGCCAAACCATCATCTGGTAGGTTAATCTAGTTTTTATTCTCCTTAAAAACCTGTGAAATGCACAGGAGGCTGCTACAGTAAAGCCTGAGTTGGTGTTTCCACTGCAAACCTTATTTTTCAAGGGGTCAGATCTGCTGTTTGGGTGGAAGACTTTCAGGCCTTTTGCATGAACTTTCCATGTTGTATCTCACGGGTATGTTTTAAAAACAATAGAGCTACTGTTCACCTGTGTTCAGAAGATCAGAAAGAGGGAGTCAGTGGTGGAAGGGCTGGATTATGGAACAACACGTGGAACAGTGTTGCTGTGATGCTGAGTGTGCAAGAATGATCGTGCTGGGTGTGAGACAAGCTGGAAACGTTGTCCTGGCAATGCAGCTGCTTCAAAGGAGGGACTGACTTTGATCCCTTTAGAGACCTGGCGCCTGCAGAGAGGCCCTGGCCCTTCTGACTGGGCCTCATTCCTACCCCCCGTGCAGTTTATCCATAGGACTCATCTGTGGCATTAATAGCATCAGTCCCTACAAAACAGGCTGGGTACCCCCACATCTTTTGCAGATATCAGTACCCAGCACTTGCAACGTGACCTCTGCAAACAAGGTGTTTGTCAGTGCCACGTGGTGTTATTGCTGCACTGAAGACCAAAAATGTAGGAAATGTGGACATCTGAGCATGCAGAATTCCTTCTGGAAGGTCTTCCTGTTGTCTCTGCATATGAACAGTGTTGCTGTAACATGAGCAAATGTTCTGCTCTCTTGTTTTTCCTCCACCTCTGTGTCTGAGCTCAGCTGATTTTGCACAGTTCTTTCAAAACTGGAGAACATGAGGTGTGAGGAGAGGCTGAGAGAAGCGGGTTTCCTCTTCCTTGGAGGAGGAGCATAAAGGTGAAGATCTTATTGCAGTCAACAAGTGCCAAAGAGAAGGCTGTAAAGATGATGCACTTGGATTCCTTGGAGGGGCAGGGTGTTATGGCAAGAAGCTGGAACACAGGGAACTTCAGTTAGATAAGGGGAAAAACGTCTTCAGGCTGGTGGTCAAATACTTCAGTAGGAACCCAAAGAGGTGGTCAATTCTTGGAAATACCAGAGGTTTGTAAAACTTTGCTGGGTAAGTTCTGGTTGGACCAGAGTTGACTGGACTGGATGCCCTGCAAGGGTCCCTTCCAACCTATATTGTTCTGTGATTGTATGGAATGTTATCCTAAACATATGGAAGCAAGTGAATGAGGGACTCCATTGCTAATAGCTTTCTTCAGAACCATAGGAAGGTGATGGGCAAGGTGGAAGGAGATGGATTTACTCGATCCTTGCTCGCTAGTGCTAAAACTTTGGCGCAATTGCCTCTAGCTTGTTACTAGCTGTAGAGGATATTCATGCTTCATTCTGTGCAGCCATTTGAATGCAGGCAATAAAATACTGCTTTGCTTTCTAAAATGGCTAGAGAATAGGAGACTGTAAGGAAAGCAAATCTTTCTGTGCACTCTTACCGCTTTATCCCTTTTCTGCAAGAGTTCAATGCACTGTAACATTCTGCTTCTCTCCGCCCCGGTGAGTGGATGGCTGAGAGATAGAGGTGCCTTTGGCCCTGGGTCAAGGCAGGCAGGGTGACAGGGTGTCACCCACACCGCTCGCAGGGTGGCGGCTGTTGCCTCTGCTGTGCTGAGCAACACTTGATGCTCCTGCTAGAATTTCAGAGAAATATCTGGCTCTGCTCCAGCTTGCTGTCCTAGTCCCAAATGACATAGTTATGACAATTGTAAACTTATTTATTTTTGCATTATTGCAGACTTCAAAAAAACTACATTAAATTTAAGGCACTAGAGGTTTTTCTATTCTCAAACCATTTTTTTCTCTCTCTCTCTCTCAGAAAATCCACTTGTAGCCCCTTCATCTGTGTGGGTAGCAGCTAGTGTGTTGTGTGGCCAAAGCTTGTCCTCTGTTGCTTGTTGGATGTGGGTTTTTAGGCAGTGGTAAGAATGCAAGGCCATTCAACAAAAGGACACATGTCTGCTAAGGCAATAACCCAACGGGGCAATCAGTCTTTGGAGAAAATATTTACAGCTGCAGGGACTACTCATAAATACTACCTATTGGGGTAGTAACTAAAATAGTTTCACAAAAAATCCACTTTGCAAAGCAAGAAGCTAAAGAGATTTTGGAAGATAATGGGTTTTAGAGGAAGTCGAGGCCTACTTCTCAATTCTTGATTGTTTCCAAAGGGTATTTTTGAGCCTATAAACCGACCTTGACTTGTTTTTTGTTGCAGGGATGATTTTTAATGAAGAAGATCAGGAGGTGAGAGACTTGGGCTATCAGAAACATGCCTTCAATATGCTCATCAGCAACCGGCTGGGATACCACAGAGAGGTACCCGATACAAGAGATGCAAAGTATGTATTTAACTCTTGGAGAAACCCAGTATGATTGTGTGTGCCTAAAAGGTTGTTACACTGCTCATTAAGTAATAACATTTTGTTATTGTTGCAGATAGATACTCCTGTTACAGTAGATACTCCTTATGCTGGGCCACTGAGGGCAGATTTCTAGCCATTTAAACCAGAGGGCTTGGGGTTAGGGTTTTTATTCTTTGGACTTCTTGGTGTGCTCTGTGTGTTGTGTTTTTGTTTTGCCTTGAATATTGCTTTGGAGGCTTAACTTTATACAAAGTGGGAAGAGAGTGAGATTGGTAAAGCCCCTATAAAGGAAGTTATGTGAAAACAGATGGCTGCTCCCCAAAGGGGAGTATGCTTTATCTTTCTGTGAAGTTTAAGGTGTCTTAAAACAGACAACAATTTGCTTATAGTTTCAGAGCTTACTGTGCTGTCAAAGAAGTGCCTTTATGATAGGGTCTTGCTAGTGTGAAGGTGAAGAGCAGAGTGGTAGAAATGGTTTGTATTTTGGAGAGTGCTAGATATGAAGCAGCTTTATTCACCATTAAGCTATGTCTTACTAAAAAGAAATCCAAGGAGCCCTTTGGGCTTTTCAAATTTAGAAATATGGTTCTAAAGCAAAACAAGTTCTGGATGACAGTCAGTAAAAGAGACTCTTCATAGCTGAAATTACAAAACTAATGAGAAGCTGAGACTGACTCAGTATAGCTAGTATATGAATATATAGGATTTGGGGGTTGGCTCAGCTCTGCAGGTGTCTTGGGGAGCAAGGCACCTGCAGACAGGAAGGATCCAGGACCAGCTACTTATAAATAAACCCGTGTCTGTTTTTCCAGTGGTTGCTCTGCTGTGAGTAAATGCAGTGAATTGTACTTGCTGGAATGTGGCTTTCCCAAAAGGCGAGCTTGTTTTGAGTCAATGGAGACTGCTCTTGATTAGTTATCAGTTTGTTTGCAGTATTTTGTAATGTTATTGGATCTCTTCATGCCTGGCATATTACTTTACATCGCATTTATTTGTGGTACTGCACCCTATTAGATTGTATGAACAAAACCTGCAAATCAGCTGGAAGAAGGTTTTCCTGCTTTGAGTGGGATTCAATTTTCATATTAAGTTGCCTAGATGTAGAGAGTTGTGTTCTGGCCTGTTGTGTCTGTTTGTTACAATTAGCAGAGATCCAGCAATGCTGGATCAGTTACAGGTGGTCGCTACTGGGGCGTGCAGAGCTCTTCTGCTGGCAAAATCCACCAGGGAGCTGGGCATTCCTCACTGCCCTGCCACTATTGACTGGATTTGGGTGTTTTAATCTGCACCCTGCATCCCAACCTTGGATTTGGGATGTTCTGGGATATCCAGCCTGTCTACAGCAGCTGGTCAATAGAGGTGTGGGGTTTTTGTGAGCTGTGTGTCCTATTTACTGCTCTTGTGCATGTCTGACTCCCAGCGTTACCAGACACTTTTCACAGCTGAACCAAGCTGTGGTTTCTACTTTTGCTCATGTTTTAACCCACCTCCCACTGCTGTCTACTATACCTTGCATTTTCTAATGTGTAATAGCCCATAGCATGACGTGTAATAGCAATAGCCTGTAGCTACTAAGTCTGCATTATGTGGAGGGTAACTTATGCTGAGCCCTAGTATGGATTTTATCCTCCTGGATTTTCACCTTCAAATTAAGGATTCTTCCTACACATGTTAACATTTCTTCTTTTTTATTTACTTAGGAAGTTTTAGTAATATGAAAATTCCCCTGAAAACCAAGTGTTAACTACTGCTTTTCTGTTTGCAGGTGTAGAGAGAAGTCCTACCCCTCCGACCTGCCCTCTGCCAGCGTTATCATCTGCTTCTACAACGAAGCCCTTTCCGCCCTGCTCCGCACGGTGCACAGTGTCCTTGATCGCACCCCCGCCCACCTTCTGCACGAAATTATTTTGGTGGATGACAACAGTGAGTTGGGTAAGAGACCATTCCAGTGTTTGGTGGCTGTTTATGCTTTTTCCTGGCTCTTGACCTACCTGTCTCTTCCTGTGCTTTAACTCATCCAAATAAAAATGTAGAAGCCCAGGTTGGAAACCAATTTGTGCTGCAAGCTGTATTTGCGAGGTGCCCGTGTAGACACCTGATCTTCTGAGAAGTCCAAGAGGGCATCCTGGTGGACACTGGTGCTGACTTTGCTGATGAGCCTTGAATGTTTGTTTTTATGTGACACTACAAGCTTCAAAACCTGTTTTTGTAAGGGATGAGGGGATGATTACGCAGCTGTTGATAGTTCAGTTGATTGCAACAGTGCAGCAGTATGTAGCAGATCTCACTGGGCTTCTCTGCTGCTTGGAGTAGGTTACATTAATTTTTACCCTACATTTTGTAGGATGGGACTTTCCATGACTGCTCTGGAAGGACTTGCATGCCCATAGCTTCACCTGCAGCCTAGGAAAGAAGTCGATGTGACTTTAGGGAAGTGATGTGACTTGGGTCTTTGTACTTGTGGCTGGAGGTGGTGGGCTCAGAGCTCAGCCTGGGCTGTGAGGCCTCTGCCTGGCTCTTGCACAGCCTCTTGTGGCCACCCTGGGGGTAGCTCTCACTGGGTTTTCAGTATGTTTTGTATTAGATTCTTTTTTAGTTCATACAATGAACTCCCCTGGCCTTATAACTTGCATTCTGGGTCAGAGTCACACTTTCTTAAGAGGTCGGTTAGATATATACAGTGAATGAAGTAGAATGAAGTTCTCTTGTCATCCTGCAACTAGATTATTTCTATGAGGCCAGATCGAATGTTAAGATACAGGAGAGAACAAAGATCAAACATTGTTTCCTGCTGGTAAGCATGCACATGTAGATTTAAAAGTATTTTTCATGCTTCTCTGCTTTGGAAGCCATGTGCACCTTTTGTTACAAATTGCAGATTCCCTGGTGCAATTTATTGCCTTCAAGTTTTGTAACTTTCAGAACTGAAATGACTTCAAAATTTAGTCTTTTCAGTATGGTAGTGCATTGGTTAGCATACTCTGGTTCTGACCTGTTGCTTTGAGGGGCCACATTAGTCCCTTGGACACTTTGAGACTACTCTTGCATTTCTGACTTGAAACATGCAGGATTTGAAGCACAAGATGGGAAAATATGCTCTTTATACAAAGAAATTCAGCTCTTAATGGTGAAGCTACTAATATTTGCACTGCTGCTTAATTTTATTTGATGGGATTTTATAACTGAAAAAAAGCAAAGTTTGGTGTAAAGCTAGTTTGGTGTCTGAGGAAATGGACTGAGACTTGTCTTTGGTTCTGCTGCAGATCACATTTGTGAGCCTGGGTGAATTGCTTTATCTCTTGGCCTCTTTGATGTTTATTTATTTTCCCTGAAATATATATGTGGTGCTGTTTCTTCATATGATAGCTCGGGTGAAATTCTGCCTTTTTCCTCAGCATTAACTGTAGGAGCTCTGCTGCCATCAGTGCTGCTGTGCAGAGCTCAGGTCTTCACCTCGAAGCTCAAGGGGCTTCTTTTCTAAACCCACTTTTACCAGCCAGGGAGGTACAGATAATGAAAGACATAAATCCAGATAATGAAAGACATCCTCGTGCTGCTTTCTAAAGTTGTCAGTATGTGCATTGGTGTATGGAACACTAGTGGTTTGGGCGACTTGTTTCTGTGAAAAGGCTTTCATTAATTTTGCTGCAAAAGTCAGACTGCCTTTGTCATAATAATTTGGCAGAAAAATGCTGTTTCTGCACACATAAGAGGTTTTGTTTTTATTTGTATGTTTTTAGCAGCAGTAATTCCTGTTAGCCTAAAGGTTTCAGTTAAAACTTGAGTCCTATTGTATTAAAGTTTTTGCAAACAGCAAAAAAAGCAATATAATATGTATTTAAGAAACTAAGGCTAAGTATAGAGCCTGAGGCAGTGGCAGGGCATAGACAAGTTGGGTGGAAAAAATACAATTGCATCCAGTCATTTAACTTGTGTTCTCCTTTTCTCAGCTGACTTGAAGAAAGACCTGAGTGAATATGTTAAGACTCAACTTCCCAAAAGCACCAAGTTGGTAAGAAATGAAAAGCGGGAGGGCTTGATCCGAGGAAGGATGATTGGAGCCTCTCATGCCACAGGTACAGCACCTCCTTTCTCCTTTCCTTTGCACATTGGGACATATATAACGGGGTGACTTCCCTTCCTGTAGTGCAGCTCTTTTGGCTGTTGAATATTGGATGTATGTGATGCCCTCCGTGAGTCAGGCTCTCTTCCAAGACATGATTTAAAGCAGGGGAAAAAAGGGGTTTTGGGTAATGGTAGTTCAGAAAGATATTTGAACAACTTTTATGAGTTGTTGGTGACTAAAATAACTAACCTGCATCTCTCTGTGGCTGTCTTTATGTTAAACTGTGTGGCAACAGCTAGCAAGTGTCTGCAGTGATACTCGTAGGGTGGTGATTGCAGACCCTGACCAGCATTGCCTGTGTATTTGAATATTTATATCCTGCTGCTAGTCGTGATCTATATGGAACCTTCTGCAGCATTTTGTCATAGCTTTGCTAAACTATCCCTTACCAGAGGCTTTTCTGTTACCCACTTAATGAGATGAGGTTTAGAAGGGGTCAGTGAAATAGCAGAACAAAACCAGTATTTGACAAACTTCGTAGGGCAGAGTAGGATCTTTCTTATTCCTGCTCGGAAAGAGCCTTGTCTCAAACATGTCTTTCAAAGCTGGGTGTTGTGTTTGCCATTTTGGAGCAATAGCTTTCCATGAGAATCTACTCCTTTATTAAGGCTTAGCAAACTTTAAACTGGCTTCTGATTCATCCATCTCATGGAAATGTTTCTCACACAAGGCCTCCAGTTGTTGCAGTGAGTGTTAATTGGGATAAACTGTATCTGGTGCTTTCTGTATGCTGTGTGCATTTTACCATAAATGCTTCCTGGTTAAATTCAGTGGCATTTGAGATGACATGTGCTACTTTCTCAATATTTTTTTAGTGCTAGATAAAGTCTCTTAATTGGTGTTTGCTCATTAGCATTGTAATGGCATAATTCAGAGAGAAAATTGTGATTGCAGTTTCCAAACTCTGCTAGGACTCATTTGACTTGGAGCAATTTTAAGTCATTTTAGTGCTCTTCTGAGCTGCTGGAGTCTTTTTTCCACTCATTCAGTTACTGTCTGTTGTTAATGGGTGACTCATTATGTTTGTGTACTTGTTTTCTGTAAATCTCTTTACCACATATTTTAAAGTTGCATTTTTTTTTTAATGCTCCAGAATAAAATTTAAAATGACTTTTAGACAATTTAGCCTGAAGGTCTCTCATAGACTGAACTGTCCTCCCTCACCATGGCTACATAAAATAATGGGTCTTTTTTTTTTTTTTTTTTTCTCTCACAACTGAAGTGTTGCTTGGTCTAACACTGATGGGTTTTGCTGTACCAGTTTAGGGCTTTTACTCTACCTTAAACTGGTATGAATTCACAGCAAGTGTGAAGCTAACGAAATAAGATGATGTTTTATATTTAGTTCATATCCAGGAATTGAAACTCAGTGTTTTGAGTTATGAAGGAAAGCAAATTAATCCATTAGGATGGTTTGGCTTAAAACCCCCAGCTCTTAGTTGCAACAGGCTGCTGATGCCTGATACGGAGAGATCGACTCCAACATGATCGGAGTCAGCAGCTGGAGACAGCTGTGTCCTGAGGATGACTGTCTGAACCATCATCTTCATCAGCTCCCTGGACACTGATAAATCAGAGCTACGTTAAGGCACACATGCTGCACATGGGTTGCTCGGCTCTTCGCATTAGGGGGCTCATCATGACCTTTTATTTAATGCACAAACCTCTGCTGGGCCTGGTGTAGAATATTTAACAGCTCTAAAGCCCTGTCAAAGGAAAATATTGAGCAATTCACAACTAAACGTGAATAGCCAGGACTCCCCTTCCACCCCTGTGGCTGAACTGGTCCCTGCGGAGTCCCGGCTCTGTCGGCTCCCCCATGTGCTGCTGGTGCCACTGTGCGTTGGTGCTTCTGTTCACTTGATGTTACCACCGACCTAGAGAGAAGACTGAGAGGAGAATCTGATCAATATGTACAAATACCTGAGGGGAGAATTCAGGGAGGATGGGGCCAAACACTTCCCCGGGGTGGCCAGTGACAGGACAAGGGGTAATGAGTGCAAGTTGAAACACAGGAAGCTCCATCTCCATGTGAGGAAGAACAACTTTCCTGTGAGGGTGACAAAGCCCTGGAACAGGCTGCCCAGAGAGGTTGTGGAGTCTCCTGCTCTGGAGATCTTCAAACCCACCTGGATGTCACCCTGTGCCACGTGCTCTGGGTGTCCCTGCTGGAGCAGTGGGGTTGGACTAGATGATCTCTAGAGGCCCCTTCCCACCTCAGGCCTTCTGTGACTCTGACCTTCGCCTCTCTGCGTTTTGGCCTCCTTAGGAAAAGTGCTCGTGTTCCTGGATAGTCACTGCGAGGTGAACAAGATGTGGCTGCAGCCTTTGCTGACACCCATTGGAGAGGACCGCAGGACCGTGGTGTGCCCCGTCATCGACATCATCAGCGCCGACACGCTGGCCTACAGCTCCTCGCCCGTGGTGCGCGGGGGCTTCAACTGGGGCCTGCACTTCAAGTGGGACCTTGTTCCTCTCGCCGAGTTGGAAGGGCCTGAGGGAGCCACGGCTCCGATCAAGTAAGGTTCCTCTGTGCCGTGCGGTGGGGTCAGCTGGCTCTGTGAAGAGCTCCTCAGGAGCATTTCTTAAGCTTCAGTTTAACTTCCAGTATCTAATCCCGGCTTAAATATGTCTATGTTGGATCAAGAAAACACAGTTCAGAGAATTCTTGTACAACAGCATCTTTTGCTGAAGACATAAGACTTAAAGAGCTTATGTTACTCTGCATAAGTCTGACCAATAAGTTCAGTTTTGAGCTGTGTGTTGATGTGAGTTTGTTTCTAGGCTGTTAATGTTTGGCTTCGTAAGGTTTTTTTGATAGTTATATTACTAGCAGCCTGCTTATCCCCCTAATGTAGGCTCTAAAACCTCTGTGATGAAATGCTAATGGATTGCTAGTTTGGAAGAACATTCTTGTGGCAATAGGAAGGTGGTTTCATAGCTGATGGGCGGGACTTTTGGAGCATTTAATAATCTTCTGTGTCAACATCTATTTTTGTTTATACTATTCTTTCTCAGACAAGTGCTTATTTTGTCATAACACTTCCTAACTGAACACACATGGATATGAAAAACATCTTTAAAACATTAACTGTGTCTTTGCAGAATGTGACCAACACGAGAAGCTGTTGGGCTGTTGAAAGCCTGTGTATTTTTTTTTTTTTTTGTGGTCTGAATTGTTTGAGACAGTTATGCAGGGGGAAAAAAAGTATTGGTAAAGCTCCATGCTAAGGCTTGAAAGAATCTTTTACCCGTTGACCTGTACAGAACTGGCAGTGTCTGCTTCCCATTGGACATGTCACCCTGCTATAAAAGTGGTGCCAGCAGACACCTACATTAGGACAAACAGCCCAGACCCAAGATCAGAAGCTGCCCCAGTGTGAAACTGGTCATGGGAGAAGCTGCTGCTGACAGAGCAAGGGGAAGGAGCCAGTTGTGCTGCTCCTACTTGCAGGTCTCCCTCTCAGCTCAGAATCCAGGAGCTATAAAATGGGAAAGCTTTAATTTTTTAAACAATGTGGTGCTTTTTAATTTGTCTCCCACTCTCCTTTCATTCTCTGCTGTGGTCTGACAGTCTTTCCTCAGTCTCTCCCCCTCTGCCCATCACAAGATTTGCTCTGAGGAACCAGGAAACTTCTTACGTTACTGAACAGTTCAATGGGCTCGTCAGTATATTTGGAAAGTGTCACTGTGGTGGCTTCAGAAGTCAGAAGAAAAGGAGAGACTGGGGAGATCTGTAGGGGAAAACAGCATAGAAAATCCTAAATTCCTAATTCTGTTAAGAGCTTTTGTCAGGATTAATCTGAGAGACTTGAGGATTAGTTCTTTTTGTAATCAACACTGCTATTGCCTGCCTTCAATCACTAGGAAAAAAAAAACTATGAAAATCCCAGAAAAAATTATACTTGGACAGTATCACCATTTAAGATACTGATTTTCTGAGTGTGAAAATGGCTTTTCCACTTACTGCTCTGGGCCTGCTTTGAAACAAAACCTATTTTGTTGCTACATCTTTGAAAATGGCTTTCCATCACATGGAAAGTTCTAATTTTTAATGATCTGAAGACTGTCAAAATAAAACGTTTTTGGTGTCAGGTCCAAAAAATAGCAATCTTTCAAACAATTTTTAAGATGACAGAAACTGCAGTAGAAGACTGTGTGGGATGAAGCAAGGAAGTGCAGACTTAGGCTTAGTTCAATCACAACTTCTTGTTTAAAAAGAACAGAGCCGCTCTGGTATGTCATGTTAACAGTATTTTCATCTCCTTCTGTAATCTTCTGGGGCATCCCCATGCTGTAATTTTCTGATTGAGAGCTCTGGTGATCCAAGAGCAGTTTGTGTGGATTGTGAATGGTGTGGGTTGTAGAATGGGGGTCATGTACAGACTTTTACAAAATACAGCACCACTCTAGTAATGTACAGGCACGCAAGAGAACTGGGCAATGCAAAGGAGAACATACTCAAAATTTTTGTATTTGAGTAACCTGATGATTGAAGCAATAATGAAACAGTTGTTTCAGATATTTAAACTTAATCTGTGAGATAGTGGTGTTTCTCTTGTCTTCCTGGTTTATATTGTTTAAATCTGGATCTTGTTGAGTTATTGCTTGATCTAATTTAATTTGGGTGGCAATATGTCCTCTGGATTCTGGTTTTTAATGTCTGCAGCATTGAAACTTTCTTCTGTAGGTCAAAATAAACATTGCAGCTAGCAGATTGAGCTCAGCATGGTGGTTTGTATAACACAGGAGATCTTTTTCAATGTTGTTTCAATACTGCTTTTTAGGTCACCTACTATGGCTGGAGGCCTGTTTGCTATGGATCGTGAGTACTTCAATGAACTTGGACAGTATGATAGTGGCATGGACATCTGGGGAGGAGAAAACCTGGAAATATCTTTTCGGGTAATGTAGTTTTTATATGTATTGGAGTATGAACATCAGCATCTGGCTGCTTCACTTCTCTGTGTACAAATTATTTAGCAGTTGAATAGCTATTTACACACAGAAACTGGCACTTCTGTCTGCATAAAGATGCCCTCAGCACACAGTATATCCAATAATTTTCAACTTAGGTTTAAGAAGGAAGATTTAAGGGTTTTTCTCAGCTGTATAGTTATTTTTATGGTTTTTCTTTGTCTGGTGCTTCACATGCATGTAAAAAAGCACAGGAAATGCTAGTCATGTAAACTCCTGCAATGAGCTGATGGGAATTGCCTGAAGAGCTTCACAAGCCAGTTACAAGGCAGATATATGGCTCACAGCAGCAATGACTGAGTAAGTTTATGATGTTTCTGTGGGGCATTGCAGGCACTACAGGGCATTGCAGACACTACAGCCTCTTGAGGGCTTGGAAATGTGATTTTTGGATAAGAATATTAAGAAGAAGCATGTAAAAAGAGTTGACTTAACCATTTTGTCATTATTTTTCTGTCTATCAGATGGTTCTATACTGGCACTTCATTGGGGTTGTTATATTCTTCCTCACTGTCACTCCCCTCAAAGAAAAGCAAAACTTTTCATGTTCAGCATCATGTTTACATCTTTAGTTTAGTAAAATTGATTCACTGATAGGTGTGACAAGTCTGCCTAAAGTTGAGATGCACATCACTAAGAAATATGCAAAAGATGGTTAAAAGTTGCAGCTAACTTTTTTCAGAGAAATCTGTTCTCCAATTGCCTCATTAGAGATATTTGGAATAGAGATCAAAAATAAGAATAGGGGCTTCAAATTGAACGGACTCTAAAGGAATGCATACTGAATAATAACATTTTCAAATTTTCAGTGAGAATGTAATTGTTAGATATATGAATAGGAGAGCAGGGAGCAGAGATGGATTTTTGTTGTTGTTATGCAGTACACTAAGTTTTGATGATAAGGGCTTTGAAAAAAACAGACAATATTTAGAGAGCATATAAGATTTGGAAGCCCTGCCTCCTTAGGAAAGTGTTGATGAGAAGTTTTTGGTCTATTTAATTTATCCAGGAGGTGTAAGAGTGATTTGATTATAAACTGCTTGTGTGAGAGGACTTCTTCAAGATGAGAGAACGTGCTAACCTAACAAAGGTTCCATAGTTTTTATTTGCTAGAAGATGAAATTTGAAAAGAAAATCATAAAAATTAGTCGATGAAAGTACAAATGAAATAATTTGGGATTGAACAGAGCTTGACTAAGACACCTAAATGCAGTGGCTGAGTGTGAGCAATATTTATGAGTTCCTATATAGTAAACAGAAGTGAACAACTGTGTAAAATGGGTACTTACACTTGGTTGAAACTCTCTGCAGGCTCCATTGATGGTGTTGACTGACCTTCATCATCTGTTATGGAAGTGCAGACATGTAGCTCTCCCGTAGACAAATAAATTTAGGTAACTTAATCATGGAGTTGAATCCCAGGCTGCATACTTCAGAGTGCTCTAGTAGATTGTTGGAGCATAAAACATTCGAATAATACCATATTTGTGTTTTGTGAAGGGCATGGTGTGTGTTTATATGGAAGGTCTGGTAACATGACCAAAAAGGTCTTTTCTAACTCGCACATCTAATAATTTCACTTGTCAGAAAGCATGGCATGTAGGACAACAGTGCTGGCAGCTAACCCGTCATCAGGCATAGACCTGCCTAAGTGTATCTTGAAGAAGGGGAGGAGGTAGTGAGCCTTGTCAGTGTTCCCTGCGCTGAGGTATGTTCTGCTTTTGTGTGGACAGATCTGGATGTGTGGGGGGAGACTTCTGATCATCCCCTGCTCCAGGGTGGGACACATTTTCCGTAAAAGACGCCCCTATGGCTCACCAGGGGGCCAGGACACTATGGCTCATAACTCCCTGAGGCTGGCACATGTGTGGATGGATGAATATAAGGTAAGAGACGTTTCCAGGCCACAAAAAGGGGCTAACTGGCTGGTTTTTCAAAGGGTTGTTTCACAGTGAGGTGCTGCTGTTCCTAATAGGAGTTTGCTTCTGTATTCCAGTTTCCTGATGTTTGTTTTGGCATAAATTTGAGGTCTGTAGGACTGTGATGTAGCTCAATTTTACTCCTTGTTACTCCTGCCTTCATTTTTTTTGTTCCTGATGCCTTGAGGAAATTAAATTGTGCCTTTTTCATGAAGTAAAATATGAAGAATGAGCTTGTCAGCTCTTCATAGTTCCACATCCAAATTGATATTACATGGCAGCCTCACACTGCCGTGTGCCTGGGGTTCCCTGCCAGTGAGCTGGGAGAGTTTATTGGTTGTTTGCTTTGTGTTTTAATTAGCAGCCTGATTCTTGGAGTCTGTTATGGTAGGTCAATGGGGATTGACTTTTGCATTCATGGGTAGCAATATTCTTTCCCAGCTTTCAGACTGAGATCCTGATGTTTTTAAATGTGTATCAAGTCTTTCACTCATTTTTGCAAAGCCCTGATCTCGCTGTGATATTTCAGTTATTTTGTCTTGTAACACCACAGGGTCTGTTTTGCAGTCAGTCTTGTAGTCCATGCAATTATATAAATTTGCAATTTATATAATTGCAAGTGCAATATACATATAGAAACACAATTCCTACATAATGCAAACATTCAATTTCTTAGCAGCCTGGGTGTTGAAGCCCATCCTTTATCTTGATGCTCTGTCAGTTTTGAGGAATCTATTAGGGATCATTAACTTTATCTCCATTCTCCATCTTTGTAATGCATTTGGAGATTAGATCTAGCACTTTCCCTTTATTGGTGTCTGGGCACAGTTGTTCTGTGATTAACGATGGCTTTCTCTGAAGGTTGGAATTGATTCTCTGTTATCATTTCCAACTAATGCTGCTTTGTGCAAAACCCACTTAAACCACCAATTCTAGCGGTCTCTTATCAGTTTTGTGCTCTGACCTTTTCCAACTGTTTCTAATCTAATTCCCTGGTAGCTGCCAGACTCCATCATTATCACAGATGTGTGGATGGAAGGCAGCTCTGGAGATATTCGAGCTACATTTGAAAGGATAAAAAATATTACTGCCAAATGAGCCTTATTTATTGAAGTGATTATATGATAAATAGCACAAAGAGAAGACTTGGAGGCCTGCTCTGCAGCAAAGAACAAATAGCAGTATTTAATAAATATAACTGCCAGATGGAAAGGAAACAGCAAAATTTACATTGTGCTTTGACAGTTATGAGAAGGTACAAGCTTATTATTTTAGAAATAATAAAGTAAGTGGTTTTCTGGGTGTGGTAAATATTGTTGAAGCTTACCTACAATAAATAATACTTTGAGGATTCTGCAAATAGGGGAAAAGCTGGAAACAAGTAATCTGATGTTCTTTTCTCCTCTCTGTTTCTGTCAAATACAGGAGCAGTATTTTGCTTTGAGACCTGAACTAAGGACCAGGAGCTTTGGAAATATTACTGACCGTGTAGAACTGAGAAAAAGACTGAACTGCAAGTCGTTCAAGTGGTATTTAGACAATATCTATCCTGAGATGCAAATATCTGGCCCCAATGCCAAAGCTCAGCAGCCAGTTTTTATTAACAGAGCGCAAAAGCGACCAAAAATAATTCAGCGTGGAAGGGTAAGATCAACTTTTCCTTAAAAATACAGAATTATGCCCTGTGAATTTTTATTCAGGAAGAAACTTAAGATTTGTTCAATAGTATGGTGCACTTCTGTAGAGCACAGAGTTTTAGTATTGAAGTGGATTTTGTTTTCAGGATAACTAATTTTGTGTCTTTAGACAAAGGTGAATCAGTCTGTATTTCAGACTAGATGCTGTTCAATGAGGCCTTTTACCTCTAGGCTTCAAACTGAAGTTTTGAAGTCTTTAGGGTGCTTTTTCTTGCCTGTTGCCAAGTTGAAGTGGAGAAATATGTGTAAAAATATATTCACAGAGAAAATCTGGACAAAGAATTTACTTTTTAACTCTAACTCCTATGGATTTGTATGCAGACAAAGACAGAATTGCACCTCTTCAGCGCTAAATTTTGGCTGACGTGGTGCGTATGTGTGTTGTGCTTCCCCCAAATCCTGGGTAGTTCCAAAGCTGAGAGAACTTTGTCAAGGCTTCCTCTGTGAAAGAGAAGACCTTTGAATGAACTGTTTCATGTGCACATAGACAATGGATAGCAGGAGATTCCAGCCTAGCCCAGTAATTGGGAGCAGGAACTGTGAGAGGAGCCTCTCCATGTCTGCAGAATCTGCTGGAGCTGCTGCTCCTGCAGGTACATCCAAGCTGGAGCCCTGAGCCCTCACAGAGCCATGCACAGAACCAGCTCAAGTTACTCATGAGGGCAAACATGAGTAGTTGCCCTGAACGCAGCTGTTCTAAGAGCTGACCCAGGCATTCCTCTAGGCAGACATTTCCACCACCCCCTGAAATCCCGTGGCTTTCTGCTTTCATTCAGACAGATCTTTAGCTTTAAAAATGTTGATGTGGGGAGAAGCTCCGGAGGGATCCAGTTGTCTCGGCAACCACAGAAAGGAGAAGCTTTTCTAGTGATGATTCTCATGTTTAGATTTACTGTTTTTAAGGATTATTATTTTTTTTTTTTTACCCTTTAAAAGGAGGGAGGGAAGATGCAGCAAAAGGCAGTTCCTGAGCTTGGTTCTCCAGGGTTTGAGGATCATACCCAGCACTGTGGGAGTCAGCTTTGGCTCAGCCGAGCATGCAAACTCCTTCCAGATGCCTGTAAGGAACAGAATGATCAGCCAATGTCACCACTATGTGCCAAACCTCCCAGGATTCAACATGAATCACTCCAGATCCCAGCTTATTCCCAGAACTACTTGAGCCAGAGATAAGAGGTAGTTTGACAGCTGGGAAGAGCTGTAATAATCACACGCTGTGACGGCTCTTAGTGGCCTTATCAAGTGTTGATCATCATGGTCAGTAAAAATAGGGACAAATTCTGTAGAACCCAGGTAGCTGCATGAGCTGAATGCACCGTGTTGAGTTGTACTGTCAAATTCCTTGGGTGCAGGGCAGTGTTGTTCAGGTGTTGTTCACCTTTTAGATGTGTGCAGGGATTAGGAGAAACACAGTGCACTTGAGGAAGCTCGTGGTGTTTTGGGACAGCTACTGCCTGGGAGGGTGCTTGGAAAAGAGGGTTATTTATTGGGCACTTCCCAATTTCTGCTCTCCAGTGATGGTGTCGTTACTTCCTTCCTTCTGTTATTGGAAGTGCCTTTTGGTTGCTCAAAAACCCAACAGAATCAACACAAAGGACAAGGCAACAGTGTTCAGAACAAAATGAGGCAGAGCAGTCAGCCTGGCCTCCAGTTCAGGACAACAAAACATATTTTTCCTTTCCTTTTGGCTCCACATTGGAAACAATTATTCCCAATAGCGATGCCCCACACGGAGCCCTGGGCTGTGCCCTGCCGGGCAGGAAGCGCCAGGGCTGGAGCGTTTCCCTCCCTCTGCACCTCCTGCAGCAGAGTCTGATGCCCACGTAGCCTCTCCCCAGCACGTTAGTGGGGGGAAGATAAAAACTTGGGCTGAAATGAATCACTTCGTTGGCTGCCAGCTCAGGGTGTGCACAATTATCTCTCCTTCTCTCATCTGTAATTAAAGTAACATAGCTGGTAAATATGTATATATATTTTTCAGTTATGTAAATGCTCTTGAAAAATCAAGTTTTTAACAGCTACTTGTATTTAAGCACCATCTTTTTCCTCCCTTCCTGCTTCATGAAGAGGAGCTGTGGGAAGGAAATGACATGTTTAGGGTAAATAGTGGTAAATGTAGTTTTTACAGTGCAGTTAAATTCTTGAGCTAGTGGGTACCTGTGACCTTAGGCTTGTGGAGAACCTAAAAACCTGCCCCAGAGTGGTGTATACTGGCTCCTTGTGTATACTGTGCATTGTGTGTACTCTGCTTGTACCATGAAGATGGAGAAATCTTGATGCAGTTAGAAAACAAAATGGAATTATTTAATGCTGCCTTTTCTCCATATTATCTGAAAAAACATTTTTTTAATGGGGAATGGTTCTTTTTTTGTGTGTTATGGTTTTTTTGTGCGAGTACATTGAATTTTAGCGCGTCCACATGTTTCTTTTGATAAGTCTCTTCACTGTGTCCCTCTGCCTGTCGTCTTGTCACAGCTCTATCACCTGCAGACCAACAAATGCCTCGTGGCCCAGGGACACCCCAGTCAGAAGGGAGGCCTCGTGGTGCTGCGGGAATGCGACTACAATGATCAAAACCAGGTATTTGCTTCCTAGCGAGCCTGAACTGTGCTGCACATATTGCACATTGTTAATATGTTTCCCTGCTGGCAAAATCCCTTAGCATACCATCTCCTTTTGGTGCAGGGAGCCTGATTTTGGAGTATTCTTCACCCTTCAAGGCTGGCCAAGGAGTCTGCAGAGCTCAGTACCTGCTAGTTTCGACTGGTATCACAGCCTGTGCTCTTTATGGGCTGAATCTCTGTTTTTGGTTGGGATAAGTTCAGAATAGCCCCCTAATTGGCACTTCAGGCCTTGTGGAAGGACTTCCAGTCAGTTCTTCATGGTGGCACTTGGGGTGGCTTTTTTTGGCCCACTCTTGTTCAGTGAATCCTGTGTTTATCTGCTCTTGTAGTGGCTCTGGTGAGGGATTTGTTCCTACCATTAAACAGGAGGTCTAAGGAACTTCGAGGGGTGTTTGGCTGCAGCTGGATTGCTAATGTGGTGTTTTCATGGGAGTAGATCTTTCCTAAGGACAAAAGTAATGAAAGGCACTAAATAAATGCTGCATGTCGTGTAATGCAGCATTGCTTTACCAAGGCTTGTGCAACTTGTTATTTTACGAAATTGGGGGCAGTTTTCAGGACAACAAAACTTCAGCAGTCAGTGAATGAAAGCGCTTGGTTTTTGCACCGTGTGGGGAATCATGAGCTGGTATGGGTGGTAGACTTTAAAGTCTGGGTGGTTAAAAATATTCCTTAATGGAAATGACAACAAGTAAGAGCTGCTTATGATGTGGTTGTGGGATTAAGTGATAAATCTTAAATTGGATCTTCATTAATATTTCTAGTGATGACTAGAAAGGGTGTTAGGCAGTGTTGACATGCTGAACCCATCAATAAATACATCCCTGAGGGCCTGAGCACCAAACTGTAGGTCCTGTGTGCTAAAGATGGATGGGTTTATGCTGGAATGAGAAGGGCAGTTGAGATTTTCCAATATGTTCTTTCCATAAGCTCCAAGAAAGTCAACAAGTCTTTCTGACTCTGTAAATGTAGTGGTTGGCACCAGAGCTTTCACACCAACAGTGCCAAGCTGCTTCCTGAGCCGTTTGGTCTGGGTGAAGAAGCTCAGACTGTTTCCCCTGGAGGATGCCCACAGGAAGAACAGATGGGTCCTCCCAGTCGCTGTTTCTCCTCTCCTCCTGGGATGTTTCTAGTGGAGAACTACCACATGGTTGGAGGAAGCCTGTTGTTTTTCCCCTCCTTATCAGGGCCTTCTGCTTGTCTCCCTCCTGCAGACAGACTTCAGTTAGTCTTTTGGTGTTGAGGAAGACTGATTCACGTTCAGGTTGTTCATCTCCAGCTCCCTTTCTGATGAACCCAGTTCTGGTGCAGGAAGCAGCAGCCGGGATCAGAAAGCTGGCTCTGCTGTTGGTGGTTTTGCTCTCCAACCATGTACATTTAGCCAACAACCTGCTTGTCTGACATCAGATTTTCTCTCCTGATAAATCCTGAGATTACCCTGCAGCCTGTTTCAGATCCTCTGGAACAATCTTGCTCAAGATGAATGAGAATTATAAAGAAAGAAGACACTTCTTAATGGTTTCTGCCAATAAAAACAGGGAAAGCCTGTCCAAGTATTAGATTCCTTTAATTCCCCTTTCCGGTAACACCCAGTCTCCCAATCTGCTGGTCTTTTCAGCTGATTTGTCATCTGTCGTGCACCTTCAGCAAGTATTTAACACCTTGCACCTTTTCATAAGTATTTAACAATATTTTGAGCCAGCAGAAGTTTTTTTGGGCATCCTGTGGCAATGAATGCCAGAACTTCACTGTGTTTTCTGAGGAGAAAACACGTGATGCCACTTGGTGGTGATTTCATTTGAAGCCTTTTTGCTTTTCTCTGAGGCATCAAAATAAGTCATCACTGCTTATCTCCTTCCAGGCTGCCTTGGCTTTGTGAATAAATAGCATCTTCTCTTGAAAAACCACTGCTCAGTAAGGAGTACTGATGTTTTCCCAGTCTTCCTGGGAAAACCTCCAAAGCTGGGAAAAGGAAATCTGGCTTTCCTGGGCCTCTTATTAACTATAGCTCTTTGGTCTTCTCTACTGGCAACTTCTAGATGTGGGAGCAGCTTTCAAAGGCCTAATTTAAAATACCTGTTGTTGAAGGGAGGAAAGACCACAGCAGTCTCACTGAAGCCACGAGACTGGCCTTACAAGCCAGTCTGCTTTACCTTTAACTTTTGCTTGTTTTTTCTCT